CAGCAGAAGATCAAATAGATACAGATACTGAATTTATCCTCCCACTTCACAGGTGATTCTTTCCAACCAGGTTTAAGGGATTATGCTTGGAAGCTGAACCAAAAAAGTTCTGCCGCAGCTACCCAAAGTCTCGGCCACACTGAGAAGACACACTTCTCAAAAAAAGCTGATTTAAGAACTATACAGCTTTTAATAAAGCTTTTTAATAAAGTTCAGATCAGGCTATAATTGCTACAATTATCATGTTGACCATTTGTATTAGCAGGAAATTTACAAGATTTTTTCCTAAAGCAGCATTACAGAAAAACCTACTTGGGATCAAAAAGAATTCTGCAAAATGAAAGGCCAACAACCTACAGTCAAACTTTAGTGAAAGAATCAATCATAATATTAAAAGCTATTATATAATTTTACCTACAAAATTTACTGTTAATCATCTGGAATAGAGTGACAGCACTAATACCTATTGGTGAACTGTCAGAAATTATGTATGAAAGAAGGTGCACAACACATGCAGTGTCAAGTGTTAGCAAACATGAGGATCAATTAGTGAACTCTAAAGCTAATTCTGTGTGTGTGTGTAAATTCAAATCCAAGAGACTTTCACCAGTAAGGTGTTAGATATCATGTAGAACACATGAATCTAACAATACCTTCATTATCTTCAAGATAATGAGACAGCGTCAATACAAAGAATTTTGAAATAGAACACTGACACCAATGACAAGGGAGGCTGTACAGCTGCTTCAGTAACATTGCTTCATTAATCGTTTCTGAGCACTAGAAGCTGTTAAAGGTGAAAATGAAAATATTTGAAAATCAGCTTAAAGTAAGTCTTTTTTGTGTGTCTGGGTTCATTTATTGTAGTACTCTCACTTGCTGCAACACAAAATGACACTTTCTCCAAGACATTTTTTCCTCTTTTCATTATATTTCATTCTCATGGTTTGTCATTTAGTTGTCATGTTTTCACCATGGGCCTCAGAGAAACCCTCAAAGAAAACCCCAACCAACAACATCTAAAGCAATATACGTAAGAAATGTTTTAAGAAACAAATTGCTGCAGCATTCTCCTCATGCAGCAACGTCTTATATATTCTGGATTCTCCTTTGAAAAGCCCACATCTAACTTTACTATGCAGCTCCAAGCTGAAAAAGACAGCATTATTATAAAAATGAAAAGACAAGGATGACTGGAGAAATTAGTATTTAGCAACAGACCATAATTTTTATTTTTTTTTTAATTACATACAGTGAATCAGAAACTATATCCTATTGATTGTGTGAACAGCACAATGGTCTCTATCTTCTACTGTGATTTATTTATGCTCAGTCATGGGAAATATAACTGCCCAGCTGCTACATGTATGGCCATAGTTCAGAATTTCATATATATTCCTGATCCACTCACACAAATTGGGTACATTTGCAGTCATCTGCTTGCCATTGCAGCAAATTTATAATTCAATTACTCTTTTATTGTGGGCTTTGTTTTCTTTTGAATTACGTTCCACAAAAATATCTTTTAACAAAATACTTCTAGGAAAATTGATTATTCTCTGATTAACTGATGTTGAAATACTTACCTGTGACTTCCTAAAGTCTAAACATAAGGAGAAACAAAGGTAATTAAAAAAGAAATTAAGTTCACAAATTGGCATTATTTTTCAAAATGCATCAACTACTTTCAGTGGTATAACATGAAAATATCACTTTACTTAGAAGACTGTTTAAAAGTAAAATAATAGAACTTGTTTAGACAGCTTTCAGAGTATCTGACCAGACCTTCCCAGCAATCTCAAAAGACAAATCTATTTTTTTCATCTGGGCTTTACGGATGCTCTACATTCAGCTTAATTCCAGTTCATCTGTATGTAGGACAATAATTTTGGAAAAATACATCCTGTTAGTTCCAAATTTCCAGGGCAGATCTCCACAACTCAGGAGAAATATGTCAATTTTCTGAAAGCTGAAAACCCAGAAGGAATAATCTAAGCAAAAGTCTTTAGCATTATTTTAACAGACTTGTTAACTATAATCACATCAGCAATTGTCTCTGCATCAAAAAAGGACTCTGAGAGCCAGTATCACCTTCCAGCCGCTAGCCAGCTCTACACTTGTTGCCAAATGAGTTAAAAATGCTGACATCCCAAATGATTTATCCCTAGGCAGAAAGAAAAGAAATGGAAACTGTTGTGGGGGAAGGGAGGCACAGAAAACACAGAGGAAAGCAGCAAATAGGAAGACACAGAAAGCCCTTGTTCCAGGGGAAGGAAGGAATGGGGACATAAAAGGGCTTCTCTTATTGCCACCAGCAGTTCAGAAGTTGATCATTGCTTTCCTCCCCACAGGCTGGATGGTGCAAAGAGTCACCCACAGTACTGCTTGTGCCTGTGCACGAACACGTGTGGGTAGGAAGCAAGGACAGTGAGGGACAGTGGAGCAGCACTTCACCCTCCCACTTCAAGCTTCACCAGGGGCTAGTCCTACGTGAAGAGACTCTTTCCTTTTGCTCTTGTAACAAGTTGATTTTAAGACACTGAGGGTGAAATTCCTAGAAATTGTTTTTTGCCTGCAGAGCATAACCAGAAATCTCTCATCAGATAGGAGCTGCCATCCTGTGTTCAACACGTCCCCTTGTCACAACCACCTCTTCTCTTTTACTAGGGAGCCCTCCAACAAGTACTAACAAAGTAGAAGCTTCTGGAAATACAAACTTTGATCAATAATAATTCTGTTCTTCACAACACTCAGGAAAATAATGAATCCTCCTTTTCATGTAATTATTATTTAAACAGCAATGTCTACATGGTATGCAAAATAAAACACTAGGTTTCTTGTCTGGTACCAACTACACAGTCACCTGCAGCTCAACCAGCTCCTGCTGATGCAATAACATGTAGCACTTAGTATGTCATTGTCCTACTGTATTACAAAACACCACAAGCAATTTTCACTGCTATAAGACAGAACATGAAAAAAGATCATGGCAACCATGGACTTCCTTTCAGTCTGCGCCAGAAGTACTCCTGATCCAAACTTACCAGCCCAGCACAATCCAGGGTGACTTAGATGATGTGGAGGAATATGCTTTGACTAAAGAGATAACAAAAATACTATAATATTCTTATACCGAAATGCTGCTGCATCCACTCCCAGTGATTTATATTTGTAAAAGCAAATGACACACTACTGCTACTTGCCTGACGTGGGTACATCATCACACACGCATCTCCCAGAATGCTTAATAAAGCAGATGCTTAACTAACAAAAAGATAAAGTGGGTAATCTCCTACATACTGATTAGAACTACTCTATGAGCCACACAAAGAAATCCTGTGAAGAAAGCAGTGATGTGATTAAAACTGGAGTGGCTGCAACTATCATATTCAGTGAAATAATCAAGGAATGGTCCCATGAAACTGTGTCTGACAAAAAACCCTCTCATTAACTGCCCTAACAGTCTGTCTACATCCTGCATCTAACAATGCATGAACATGGAGAAAATACTCCAGAAGGTGCCTTAGATTAATTTGGATTATATTTCTGTAGTGTGATTCACTCAGAAAAATAAAATTGAACATTTATTTCAGGGTCCATGGCACTTCCTAATTAGCCACTCCTTGTGCACAGCATAAATTTAGGCCTCTATGAGTTACAGCACTGAGGTTTCTATGACCAAAGCAAACCCATGAATACAAGAGGGCTCCTTGCAGGTGTGAGCTTGCACAGCCAGAACCCACTGCAGGACTGTGACCAAACAGACATCTTCATTACGGTATTTGTAATGGTGTCGAGGAATGTTTCCCTAAGAAAGCCAAACCTTGTAATTAACATACATAATATTTCCTTCTGGATGAGATCAGCTAGAGCATTGTAATTGTTATCAGTTATTCTTACTAACACATCTCTGATTAGGATGCACACAGTCGCAGTGTCTCATTTGCTTACTTCTGGCTTGGTGTATACTTATTACGATGGTGCAACCCAGCTGCTCTGCCACCAGGTACTGGTAGCACGTGCACTTGTCTGGACACAGCACTGCCAGCTCTGCTATTTTACTTGATGTTGCTCCAACGCACCCACAACTTCTGAATTATAGGATCCAACCTCAGCAGTGAGTTCCTTTGAAGTGACGCCTAAACTGCCAATAAACTTGCACTGGTAACCTGTGCCACCCACCTCTTGCCCTTCCCTGAAGGGCCATAAGAAACAAAGTACCCTCGCAGACACGCACATCCCTCCCTCAAAAAGTGGGCCCAGAAAGGCGAGGAGAAGGAAGAACACGTCGGAGGTGCGAAGGCGCCAAGGTGATCTTTGAACACTCGCTCCCCACGGCAGCCCGCGGAGAGACGAGCAGCCTCCGCCCGTGCCGCCCGGAAGAGGCTGCAGGTGTGCCGGCCAGGGGCAGGGCGGCTCCCGCTCGCCGCGCTCCCCGTCCCGCACGAAGCCGGTGGGGGCGCCCCCGCCGTCCCGCGGTTCCCGCGCCCCCCGTCCCGTCCCCGCCCCCCTCCTGACGGCGCAGGGGGAGCGCAGCCGCTCCGCGGCCGTGTGCGCGGAGCACGGCCACGGCCACGCTAACCGCCGCCCGCTGCCCGCCGGGGACAGCCGCGTCCCGCCGGGTCGGCTGCTCGGCGGCACCGCCGCGCCGTATGAAGGGAGCGGGGCAGGAGGGAGCGGGGGAAGGAAGGGGGCAGACCGGCGGCTCCGGGCGCCTCGCCGGGTCGCGCCCCGTGTCCCCGCCGCGCTCCCCGCGGGGAAGGCGCCCGGGTGCCCTCCCGCCCGCCGCTGACCCGGCAGACGCCGGGCGGCTCTCGCCGGCGCCACAACCCCGTCTCTGCCACCCCCTCCGCGCCGTACCCGTCCCGCCGCTGCTGCTCCCCGGCCCGGGGGGAGCGGCAGCCCAGCCGCCGCTCGGGCAATGAATGGAAGTGCACCCAGCGGTCCCCGTCCTCCCTCCCTCCCGACCCCGCACAACTTCGGCGGGGCCGCCGCCTTACCTCTGCCGGGCAGAGGCGGCTCCTCCGCGCTGGGGCTCTGTTATCGTCGCCGCCGCCTCCGGCCCCCGCCCCGCCGGGCTCGCCCTTTTCGGCTCCCGCCGCGACCATGCACCGAGAGAGGAGGACTTGGATCCCGCTGAGCGCCGACCCGGCCGCCCTCAGCCGGAGGGAGGGAGGGAGCCGCAGCGAGGGGCGGGGAGGGACGGGACGCGGCCGCCCTGCCCTGCCCAGGACCGGCCCCCTCGCACTGACGTCCCCCGCTCTCACACCGCCGGCCGCGGCGAAGCGCCCGCACCAGGGCCGGGCGGGAGGCGAGCGAAGGGAGGGAGGCACCGCGTCCACGGGCGGCCTGGTGTGCCCCGGTCAGCGTCACAGCTGCGGGGACAGGCTCTGGGAACAGCAGGAATAACCTCTGCCCTGCCGTCCTGGCGTTTGAATAACCAAGGCTTCTCGTTTTACCCCCTCCGACGCAGCCGGCCGAGAACGGGCGCTGGGCTGCGAGACTGGCGGTGTCAGACCCGGTACTGTCCACTGCACTGCATCACAGTCAGTCTGCTCCACTGGACCTAGCCATGGTGGATGCACTGAATGGAAAGCAAGAATGGTAAACACCATTGCCCTGTCTCCAAACATTCGTCTTAGTCTAGACCTTGCAATTTACATTGTAAGAAAATGTCTAAAAAATTGCCAGCGATAGTTTTCTTTTCAAACCTTTTCCCCTCAGAATAAATAACTTCCCACCAGTCTCTCTTTCAAATCACAGTAAACACTCTTCCAGTTTCAAAGCAGCACTCTGATGACCTAGGCTTTTCCAGGACTTTGTAATTTTACAGATATCTTGAGATGTCTAGTGCTAAGCACATATGTACCTACAGACAGTGACGCTCATTTAAAGCATCTGCAGAGAAAATTAAGGTTTAGGCTTGGATATGTCTCTGCATGCCTCTGCTATCCCCTGCTGTTGCACCCCTGTGCAATATGCTGATCGCTGCAAGTGGATGACAGGTGTCTAACTTCATACAGCTCATCTCAGTGTCAGCTTCATTTGATAGACTGGAATTGGCTGTTGCAATAGATAAAACCAGCTGCTAAGTGAGTCAATAAAATAAATCACTGGGTCTCAAGAGAAATAAATGAAGTGCTACACCAGTGCAAAACTTAATTTGCTGCAGCTAAAGCTGTTCTCCTCCTGCGAAAAAGTAAGGAGTTCTCTTTTCACAGCTATCAGAATGATATCTTTCACAAACACTGCTTTTACTTGAAGCTATGGCTTTGGTCTGAATTACCTTTTCACTGTGATGACACAGATGGATCAGTACAGGCTGGTCCTGCTAACTGCTGGACTCGAGAGTCTTCAACTGTGCAAAAGCATATTCCATCTGACTGGACCCAGCTGGGGGATCTGTGCTTTTTTTTTTGGAGCCCACTGCTCAGAAAACCAAAAGTCAGTTAATGTTTTCCCAAGTACAGGTTGAGGAATTCAAAAGAAGCATAAAACCCTAAGAATTATGTTCCTGTGGCAGAAACATTAAAAACATACACAGCTATTTACTCTTACTGAGAAGAGAGTGTATGCTTTCATGTCTGATTATTGTCCAAACTTGTATCCTTATGTTACTTTTCCTCTTTCTGGACAAGTCATCAAATGAAACATTCTTAAAAAAAGTTTTATTAGACATAGTTTTATTTGTTCCCTTTAAAGATCTGAAAATTCATTTTCTACAAAATGAAGGTGTCTTTGTATTGCTGAGCTCTCTCTGATCTCTGAGAGCAGCTGAGTAGGAGACAATAGGTCTGTCCAAAAATAAACACCTCTTTAAAGAATATTTTAACCCAAGAGATTTCACACAAATAGTGATGTGACAACATTATTCAATAACACAAAACTAATATAACAGTCATATTAGTTTTCAAAAACTTATGGGCCTTTTGCATTCCAGTTCTGGAGTGACTTTGAGCTAGTATCCATAATAATGGATCTGCTACTTTTGGATCAGTGCTTTCTGAAACGGATAAATGCTCCATCTGTTAGAACCATGATAGTCCATCAATGATGTGAAGCCAAAAAGTATAAAATCTGCATTGCAAATATGGATGTAGCAAATATCAGTTTTCTCACTGGTCATCTATTAATTTTTAAAATGATAAGTGAAATGCTAATTGATTCAACAAAGCTTACCCAGAACGAAAGGAAATAATTATTAAATCATCTCTACTATCTTCATTTATGAAGACTGCTTTTAAACCTAGACACTCGTGTGTCCAAATCACATATAAGTCACACAGCAATTAAGATATTGGATAAAGAATCATGTTGTGATGGTTGCTGCAGTACTGGAGCTAATTGCAGCAGTAACCTCTTCTTCCTCCTACATTAACTGTTTAAAAATTGTTTGCTGTTCAAAAATACACAGTAGGAACAATTACACAGTGCTGCTATCAGTTAGTGGTAATGTGCAGGTTTAGCCATTGGATAGAGTAATTACTAATGGAAATGATAACACCTGATAATAAGCAAATGATAACCCACAGAACAGTCTGACCCCATTGGATGCTGTCTGGTCCTCAGCACGTATTGTTACAGATACTTTTTACCATACTACCCTAGATGCAGAAACTTGTGTGGCAAGCTCAGTGCATCAGGTTGTGGAGCTGAATGAGTCTGCGGCTTAGAAAAATAGCCATAAGCAGGCTGTTTTTTCCTACCTTCAGTAGGAGGCAGGAAGCAGAACTCTGAAATCCCCTGATTCAGCCCTGCAGGCCAAGGATTGGGACCCAGACAGATCTAAGCATAGCATATAATTTTCTTAATTTGAACTTCTTATTTATTTGGAATTGGTGTGAGGAACTTGGTATTTCCTTCTACCGAAGCAGTAAGGTTCTAATGCTAACTAATTACTATATTGGCTTTGATGTGCAGCTTTAAACATCTTTATTTTGCTTATCTGAAGCCCAACTGCACAAACAAATAACTCATCACCAGAACTTAGCACATATGCATTATCCAAACAGGAAACAGAGATGTCAAACAAGCATACTTTGGATTAAGTAATATATGAGATGGAAAAGATGATACAATGTTTTTTCCTCTTGCTCATAGATCTTCCCAAGTATTAACTTCATAGGCATTCATCTGTTTAGACAGTTTTCCTCCCTAAATATTGGTTTACTTGTAACCCTAGAAAGTACCACCTGACCTCATTTTGATTGATCGATTTAAATTCTCCATGGACCGTTAGAATGAAGGATTATTTTCCCCCTGAAATTTCCTGAAGTTCACCTGAACAAATACAGCCTTGGATGTGGCCCAGAAAACATTCTCTGAAGGTTGTAAGAATAGAATATAGACAGGGCAGACAAAACAGGACAGCAGACAGTACAACCAAAGAGACTATGAGATCCAAATAACTAGCAAATAACACATAGGTTGGAAAGAACAGACACTATTTGGCTCAAAATAAAGTTCTCACTTAGTCTGTGAATAGTCACTGGAAACTATTAAAAATATTGGAGAAGATACAAAAATGTCTTTATGGTACTTACAAAAAGCTAAAATTGAACTCAGGGAATATCATGTATACATACTACAATTAGAAGAGACTAAACAGCAAATCAATCTCAACTTTTTAAGCTTCAGATATATTCATGTTAGATTTGTTCCCTCCTGATATTTACTTTCCTGTTTCTTTCTGTTGTTCTTATTTTTTTAAAGTTGCTACTGTTCCAAAATCTTTTCACTGTAGAAGAATGGAATAAATCTCAATATCCTATTGAAATTAATTGTCTGACTATAGAAACACACAGGAAAGAATTTTTTTGGAGTAAAATAATGTTTAAAAAATGATACACTTGGAACTTGTACCAAGAACTCCAGTGAAAATGGAAAAAGAGGAGTTAAAGAGACAGAAGATGGTGGGAAATATATAAAAGGGAGGAGTCAACTCTGGAAGAGTCAGAGGGAATTGAGTGAGGACATAGGTGTTATTTTATTGTGGGATTTTTTGTTCTTCTACCCCAAATAAAAGTAAGATGTAAAACACCAGCTGAAATAAGTCTCCAAGAAAATGTGTCTATCTCAAGTAATGCTTGTTTTTGTTTGCAGCTTCAGAAATCTCAGTTCTTGTAAGCACTTAATTATGACATTTAATTTTTCAGTAGTTCACTTCTCTGGTGTAAACAAGTACATAGTGTTACAGAAAACAATCTGATCCTTCTACTGTTTAGCCAGTGACAGTAAGGACAAAAAAAAAGACATTTGAAGAATGGGGAAACCCATCTATTCATAATTGACACTTCAGAAGCAAATGAGAAATGAGAAGAGGCTGTGGTTAAGCTGAAAAGGTCATTCAAAATTAGCACCTTATGCTGTAGATGATAAAAAAAAGGTGCAAGAGCATCTTGAGTGGATAGTAGCAGTACTATACTGTATTGATAGATTTCGGGAAAAAAAAGAATTTGAGTTCAGACCTAAAATAAAGTTTATGTGAGAGTTTTAGCCATGGATAAACAGCAAAATTACTGTCTCAAACTTGTTATATACAGAATCAAACTTGTTATATACAGAATCAATGCACAGTATCTACACTATCTGCATGTGATGACCGAGCGAGAGATCAGTGCTGAGTAGCAGAAAGCATGGAGATGTTTCTCTCTGCCGAGAGTAAGGAAATGGGAAGAAGGTTTGGAAGGAAAGACTGGGATCTGTCTTATACCATACTGAATTTGAATCGATGGCTTAATTCCAATAAATGCAGAGAGATATCTTGATATTTTTCATCTCTACAGGAGAAGGAAGTCTAGAGTGACTCAGGAAAATTAGTTTAATAACCTGCAGATTATTCTGATACTAAGAATAAGTGAAGGGGACAAAGGACAGAGCTGCTTAAGTTTCCATGGGAAAGCGATGAAGAAAACACTCTTAGAGACCTACAGACCAATGCAAGGCAGCAGCATGAATTCATCAAAATAAAAACAAATTGAAAAATAAGGTCAGTTAAAACAGTATCTAAGAGTCGAAGACTTTTAAAAAGAATGCAACATGAGAAGAGACAAAGGCCTTTGGTGGGTGTCAAGAGACATCTGTTGACCCTGGTTGAGCATTCTGAGGTCTCAGATTCCAGCTCTGAATCAAGCTTGGTGTTTT